AATCATGGATTATTAGACAAATATCAATAATAAATTAGAAAATATACAAAAAATTATCATTGTTTAAAAGAAGTCATAATTGAAAAACTAGTCTAAAAATATAAAAAAGTAACACAATTTATATCTTTTAAGAGATTACGTCTTATTGCATTAGACGATATTTGAGGTAAATTCAAAGCTTTGGGACGAACGTTTATATTGAGATTCTAAATAAAATCCTAAAGGTTCATAAATTCTAATTTGCAATTATATTTTTATAAATAATACTGTTTTTCCTGCCATTTATAAATAAATTGGTTTAAGATATAAAAAATTAAACTTCATTGGATTATATTGCCACTTTTATTTTGAAAATGTATCTTTTTAACAGTTATCTGACCTTCGTTTGCAATGGTTTAACACAAAACAGTCACCCACCTAAGCCTAATTCAATGATAAACTGAAACAAACTAAAAATACATTAAGTTTATTTAATACATACATTTACCATAATTTACTTGAGATACTTATAAAAAGCTGAATGGAAGTGGTTATCTTATTCTAAAGTATGTAAAACATTTTGAAAAACATAAAACAAAACTAACGTTCAGTATTTATCAAGAGTGTATTTTCTCAATTAGCTTTTTCTCTAACAGAAACAATTTTAATAACTTACGTAAGACTAAAGAATGTTTTAAAATTATGTATATATCAGTCCAAGGGTAGCCAATTTGTGTTCAACTATTTTCAATGTGTATTTATTTATGTATTTATTAACATTTAAAATATAATCTGTTCATATGTTGGTAAGAAATGTACATTTATTTTTCTACGTCTCAGTGACTCAGCAGTAAGTCAGCAGGCGTACCACGCTAAAAATTGGGTTTCGATACTCGTTGTATCCAGAACACAAATAGTTTAATGAGTAGCTTTATGCTTAACAACAACTATACCCAAACAATTTCTTTCTGGTTTTCTTTAGTACTATTATTCTGGTTTTACTGAAAATATAAACAAACGCGTGTTGTTCTTTTTAATATTGAAATAACGTTTACAATGTTTTAATGTATCAATCACTCCTTCTATGCTTTGGTTTAAAAGTATTACACTAGAACAAAGTGAAGAGTCATTTTCATACCTTTAAACCACCAGAAAACAGACATATACCTGTATTTCTGCAAATAAGTTCATTTCTATATCTTTTAGAAATTATAAACGTCAGTGTTAAGTTTACGGACTTACAAAACTAAAATCCTGGGTTCGGTTCCCACCAGTGAGCAAAGTGCAGCTAGCCAAATATTTAAGAACGAGCCAAAAAAAAAACAACAACATTAGATCCTAAACAGCTACTTTGCCAAAACTATCAATATAAGTTAATTTTCAATCTCAAATGATTCCTCTCAAATAATAATTTTTACCAAATTATGAAACATCATTTGTAAATAAACAAGCAGAGGTGATATGGATAGCAGCTGCCTACCATAGCGAACGTGTTTGTTACAACAATGGTAAGATATGGATAGCAACTGCCTACCATAGCGAACGTGTTTGTTATAACAATGGTAAGATATGGATAGCAACTGCCAACCACAGCGAACGTGTTTATTCTAAAATCAAGGTGATATGGATAGCAACTGCCTACCATAGCGAACGTGTTTGTTCTAAAATCAAGGTAAGATAGGCAGCCGCTATGGTAGGTAGCTGCTGCCTATCTTACCTTGATTTTAGAACAAACACGTTCGCTATGGTAGGCAGCTGCTGCCTATTTTACCTTGATTTTAGAATAAACACGTTCGCTATGGTAGGTAGCTAACGTGTTTATTCTAAAATCAAGGTAAAATAGGCAGCAGCTACCCACCATAGCGAACGTGTTTATTCTAAAATAAAAATAAGATAGACAGCAGCTGCCTACCATAGCGAACGTGTTTATTTTAAAATCAAGGTAAGATAGGCAGTAGCTGCCTAACACAACGAACGTGTTTATTCTAAAATAAAAGTTAGATAGGCAGCTGCCTAGCACAACGAACGTGTTTATTCTAAAATAAAGGTAAGATAAAGGTAAGAACCTCTATATTCTAAAATAAAGGTAAGATAAAGGTAAGAACCTCTAGATTATAAGCACGCGAACAATGTAGTCTTTTTGTCACTCATTATTTTAGCAACATATTCAAGTATAAATTATAATTCTGTAGTAGCCTGTAAAATGTGAACTCGAAAGAGTCAAAATTCGCCTTTTAATTACTTTGGCTGTATAATTATCCGTTAATTTAACAAATGCATTTAATGAGAAAATGTGTAAGTTAATGATAGCGGATTTTACATAAACGCTGCGAACAACAGACATCCTTATTGTATGCATGTTAAGCCATTGATTCATATCTATTTTACACTTCGTGACTAATTAGTGTTAGGCCTTATTTACACTTCTGACCTAACATACAAAGACGTATAAACGTCGTAGAATTCAAAACGCCATGAAATAATGTAGCAAGACCTATTGACCTCTGTTCACTTAATTATAAATATTATTCTAAACTTCAACAGAAAATATAAATAAGTCATAAAAATGATATATATATATCACAGCGTTTTACCTTGTTCAAGTAAACACATAGAAGTATAACTACATATTGTTGGATTCTTGATATATATAACAACTACAAACTCGATGGCTTCAGAACCAACACAGTGCTGATATGCATTACAGTATTTCATTAATAACACTTAACGTGAAAATTAGCAAAGTTAGACATTTCAAGTCTCCAAATTTATTGTTTCTTAATTCATAACAAGGTGAACAACAATAACGACTATCATTGATTCTCAAGTATAACCTAAACTTATCACATTGCTAAATTTTATGTGAAATTTAAGTATTCAATGTTTAATTAAGCGTTTTTCTGGTGTTTTGGTCAAACACGTGATTCAGGTATACTGGAACTGAAAATAAATTACGTGTTCGAAGAAGAAAATAAAACGTGAATGGAAATCAATAAATACCCTCTCATTCATGGTGTTAGAAAGCACGTATGTTCAAAAATTCGATTTAACACAAAATACAAAACTCTATAACTTGAGCGCTTTCAAAAGGTTCACCTTTTTTTTTCACAGGGGCAAGCTGGGAAACTGTGAACGTATATCAATATATTCTTACAACATCACCCTTCCCTCAAAACGAAATAGAAATAAAAAACAATTGCAGAGTGTGTTCTAATGGTTACCACACGCGGCGGCATGCAGATCGAAAGTCCAAGGTTCGAGCCACAGTATTCAGATTGGCTTTTAGACGTTATAATTATAAATGAAGCCCACTATTCTGTTGAAAAAAGCCATGTACGTGGCGGGTGTTTCTTACCAGATTGCTTCTTTTTTACTGGTCAACATTTCCAAATCAGGGATGGATATAACTGAAACTGTTTGTTTAGGCCACATGTCACATGAGTTACCGTACAGGTTCAAAATAACAACTAAAGCTGAGAACTATAATTTATAACATTTCATGAGACTGTGACAGTTTATGAGACTTAGGTTAGTCCTAAGTCCATAAGCCAATCTAAAAATGCAAAACAATCTTATGAGAAAAGTATAATAATAATAAAACTGGATATGTTAAACATTCTAACTAATGTTTTCAATGAAATAATAGAGTACACCTTACCTACGGCACCTATAAACACTAACTTTTAGATTTTAATTTGTTTAACTTTGACAAATTATAAATGTTTTTTGTTGTGTTAGTAGGTGCAATTTCACCAGGAGGACTAGCGGTGAATTACCTAGCTATATATAAATATAAACAATACAAATTATGCAGAAATAACAATTCAGACCAGAGCAATAATTATTGTATATGGTACATTTAACTACAGTTCCCATATCTTATTGTGTTTAGAATATATACAACAACAATAATTCAGAGCGGATTATTAATTATTGTATATGGTACATCTAACTACAGTTCCCGTATATTATTGTGTTTAGAATATATACAACAACAATAATTCAGAGCGGATTAGTAATTATTGTATATGGTACATCTAACTACAGTTCCCATATAGTATTGTGTTTAGAATATATGCCACAACAACAATTCAGAGCAGATTAGTAATTATTGTATATGGTACATCTAAATACAGTTCCCATATATTATTGTGTTTAGAATATATACAACAACAACAATTCAGAGCAGATTAGTAATTATTGTATATGGTACATCTAAATACAGTTCCCATATATTATTGTGTTTAGAATATATACAAGTTAGATGTACCATATACAATAATTACTAATCTGCTCTGAATTGTTGTTGTACAGTTCCCATATAGTATTGTGTTTAGAATATATGCCACAATAACAATTCAGAGCAGATTAGTAATTATTGTATCTGATACTACTAACTACAGTTCCCAAATATTATTGTGTTTAGAATACATATAACAGTAACAGTATTGTTGTATATGTTAGATTTCTCTACCGTTCCCAGATTTTACTGTGTGTATCAAACATATAACTTATTTCTTACACATCACAAATCTATTGGATAAGTTCTTACAAAAGAAACAAGCACATTTTACGGGTTTTTCTAAACTTAAACTAATCAGTCGGACCCTAAAAACTACTGAACATTTTCACTGCCTGTATTAAAATTATTTTCAAATTTGTTTGGTCTGGTGATGTATATATCGGTATTAATTATATATTATTTATAAATAATACAAAATCTATCATAATGTTTGTCGTCTCATTTCAAAAACTTTGATTCTTCAACATAATTCACAGTAGAAAACGTTCAACAATAACTAGATATCATTTACAAAGAAAAGCTACATTAATAGGCATATAGGGAAAACAAACGTTTTTCTTGCCTACATACTACTACAATGTCATCTTCATGCACACTTTCAAACACACACTAGATTAAAACAAAACGATTGTTAGTTTGTGTTTCTGTTTTTCCTTTAGGAATCCACCGAAGAGAGAGGAACTCTTCAAGTTCTAGTAACTTCTTCTTGAAAATAATTTTATTTTTCAGGCATAGGATTGGAAAACGATTTCATGCGGATCGTAATAGGCGGAGTAAAGTTGGAATGGTTCGTTGTTACTATAACGTCAGTTGTGGTTCGAAACGAGCCCGCATAACGGCCACGGGTTATCTGAAAGTTTAATCTTGTCGATCTTGCAGTCCTGGACGAACAGCAGAGTAAACACATCTGTCTCAGATCAGCCTAAATTAAAAGTTTAATGTTAATAAATAAAAATCTCAAAAATACCGAACTCACTTTAACAAAACCAAATGTATATTGGGTAAATAAGAATGTATTATAATATTCACTATAAAATATGCATGTCATATATATATATATATACAATGATTTGACAACAAGTGAACAAAAGCAATCAGAATCTAACCTCGAGCTAACCTTAAAAAGCGTTTTGTTTTTATTTAATTATTTCTGTTGGTTTTAGCTTCTTATTCCAAGATATGTTATTCCTGTAACTGTTGAAAACGTATTCTGCTAGCTAGACCTTTCAAAAATCTTTAGTTGTATGAGATTCATGTTAAAAAGGTATCAGATAATGTAACGAAAGCCCAGTGTTGAGAAACAGTAGTAAGTGATCAGATTATATGTATACATCATACGTTCACCATATGTAAATCATAAGTTCACCATCTGTACGTTATAAGTTCACCATTTGTACATCATAAATATGTGGTAAACTAGGAGGCAATTAAAATAATAAATAATATTCAACGTTAAACTGGTACACACTCCTGAGGATGACTTTGTAACGTCGAAACATGTAGAATCGTCAACTTGTTGAAGGCCATATGTAGGCCTAAATAAAATGTTTTTAATTGTGTACCAGTTTATCGTTGAATATTATTTATTATTTTAATTGTATACACAAGTGCCAAAATACTATAATTATGTGTCTAGAAACGGGACCCATGGCAAAGAAGTTTGTAAGACAGAGGAGTAAACTAAAACGTTTAATTTCTCAACTAAATTTTTTGGTTAGATGTAAAAGAGAGAATCTTATTCCAAAGTTTATATAAGTAAAATGTAATATCAAAGGAAGAAAAGCAGACTATTGTATAGAAAAAATGAAACAACAGATACTACGCATCACGATTCAACAGAAGTGTTATAGCCAAACAAGAAAATAATCTGTATCAACTACATTTAGTGGCAGCAAAAGAAAATGATGATGAACGTTGGATTGAATGGGAAAGCTCTACTTGGAATCGGACAAAGAGAGACACTGAGAAGTATAAGTATGAATTGAATCAGAAATACACTAAATTAAAAGACAAAAAGAAAGAAGATGAACAAATCAAATTAGATACATTACCTGAATATTATCAAAGAGTTTTGGAAAATCCTAAAATAGTGAATAAGTCAGATGTGGTTCTTAAAAACAATCAGTTGGATGTATGAAATAAAGGTCTGGGTTTTGCTTAAAAACAGTTAAATATTAGAAATGAGGATTTAATAACGGATGTAGAAACAAATCTGGATAAAGTAATAACCGATAATTCTAAAAATATAATTAGAACTGAATGTTATAAACTTGTAAGTAATTTCAACCCAGTAGTGAAAAAATAAAATATAGATATCAAGGCTGTTAAATCATTAAAAGATAATAATAATATTGTTATTTGTAAAGCTGATAAAGGAGAGCAAATTGTAGTATTTGATAAATGTGACTACCTTAAAGAGGTAGAAGATATGTTAGAGATAAGTACATATAAAAAAGTTAAGAATAACCATACTAATAAATATCATGAATTTGATGTAATTTGATGTAATTAAATAAGGAAGATTTGTTAATATCATTTGATGTAGTTAAATAAGGAAGATTTGTTAGTAAACTACATCAAATGAGAAATAAGGAAGATTTGTTAGTATCATTTGATTATTTAACTACAGGAATGATACTAACAAATCTTTGATGTAATTGAATAAGGAAGATTTGTTAGTATCATTTGATGTAGTTAAATAAGGAAGATTTGTTAGTATCATTTGATGTAGTTAAATAAGGAAGATTTGTTAGTATCATTTGATGTAGTTAAATAAGGAAGATTTGTTGGTATCATTTGATGTAGTTAAATAAGGAAGATTTGTTAGTATCATTTGATGTAGTATTCCTATTTATAAAAGTTCCAGTAGAAGATGCAATTGAATGCTTTTAAACAAAATTGTTAGAAAACAACATTTCAGCAGTTGAAACTATAGATATAGTTAATTTAACTAAAGTATGTGTTACGAATCCATTTTTTAAGTTAACAATAATTTCTATAAACAAAATGAAGGGTTAGCTATGGGATCACCACTCTCACCATTATTATGTGATTTGTATATGAATGTATTTGAAACTAAAGCCATAAATAATGCAAAATGTAAATCTGATATTTGGGTAAGGTATGTAGATGACACATTCTTGGTGTGGAAATATGGTAATAAGGCATTAACAGAGTTTGCTTACTATTTGAACAGCATTGAACCATCCATACAATTTACGTTTGAAATTGAGAAAAATAATAGTTTGCCTTTTTTAGATGTATTGATGAAAAGGAACGTACAAGGTAATTTAGAAACATCAGTTTACCGGAAACCTTTGTCTGTTCTTATGCCCCCACACCAAGAATTACGTCATACTAGGTCACAAAAAATTTTATAGTTATGTTAACAGAGCTTTGAAGATATGTACTAATCAAAATGATTTAAAAAACGAATTGTTATTAATTAAATATATAGTAGTCGAAAGATGTTTTAACCCAGATTTTATAGATAGGGCAAATAAGAAATTCACTAATACTATAATAATTAATCAAGTTAGTACTTTAAAACCTAGTTATGAAAACATTAGAACTATATGTTCCAGGTTTAACTACTAGTTTATTTAAAGTGTTCCAAAAACAACAGATATTCTACCCTATATTTAAACCGATAAATAAGATGAATCAAATCTTAGGTACTACGAAAGACGAAATACATATAACTGAAAAAAACTGGAATATATAAAATAGAATGTGAATGTGGAAGTATTTACATTGGTCAGACAAAACGTAATTTAAAATACCGTTTAAATGAGCATAAGGGATACGTAAAAGTACACATTGTTGTTCAAGTTATTTGTTTTAAAGTCGTACACATTTTGATAATTATTCTTAATGTCTACATCGTTCGTCTCCACTGTCGGTTCCTTGTTAGTTTGGAGTTAAAATCATAAATAATATTCAACGTTAAAACTGGTACACAATTAAAAATATTTTGAATTTAAGTTTCAAATGGACAGCAACTGCCTGTTGCAGAAACCTACAAATGTAGATGACGACGTTTCGAAAGTCTTCCACCTGAAGACGAAAGGCGGTAAACTTTCGAAACGTCGTCCTCTACATTTGTAAGTTGTACGACAGGCAGTTGCTGTCCATCTGAAACTTAGGTTCATTGCGAATAGTCTGCCTTAACAACCTATAAAACATTACCTAAAAAAGTTGACGACTCTACACGTGTCGACGTCTTCCTCAGGAGTAAATTACAAGCCTATGCTAAAGTATTTATAACTTGTTAGTAGGTCATGTGACCTGTATGCTATTTTACATAAATTCACGCTAAACCATTCAAAGGAGATCGATCCACATTCTTGCTCCCCCCAGTGGCACAGCGGTATGTCTGCGGACTTACAACGCTAGAAACCGGGTTTCGATACCCGTGGTGGGCAGAGCACAGAGAGCCCTTGTGTAGCTTTGTGCATAATTAAAAACAAACAAACAAACCACATTCCTGCAGAAATATTCGCCAAACCTTCATCTCTATTTAATATTACATGATCTTTTTATGTTTTATTATTTCTAACGATTCGCGAATATTATTACCTATTACACTTTTAGGTTGAGCTAATATTACTGTTTTTGACCCATAATATTGTGTGTTTTGTTTCTTGTATATGTTCTGCTATGGATGAATTTTCAGTTTTTTTAGACTTTAGAACAAATAACTTGAACAACAATGTGCATGACTTTAGAACAAATAACTTGAACAACAATGTGCATGACTTTAGAACAAATAACTTGAACAACAATGTGCATGACTTTAGAACAAATAACTTGAACAACAATGTGTACGACTTTAGAACAAATAACTTGAACAACAATGTGCATGACTTTAAAACAAATTACGTTTCGTTGTTAAAGAATTACTGTATTCTCAAGCTGCACCTTGGCACCGCTGGAATCGAACCCTGAATTTTAGCATTATAAGATGGCAAACTCACCATCGACCCAAAGAGGAACTGAAATTAAGAAATATGATGCTTTTCTGTATAACCAAACTTTCGAGTTTTGTAAAATAAATCTTAAGTTTTTGTTTGTTTGCTGAATTTTGGGGGAAGCTATCTGGGGCTATTCACAATAGTTATAAATAATGTTAATGTCATAAAATAGAGGAAAGGCAGGTAGTTAACACCACTCACCGCCAACTCTTTGATTACTTTTCTCATCTGGGGC